AGGGGCTGGTAGGAGCCACGCATAGCCCATAAGGCTAGGGTGCTTGGTGAGCACCCATCATACCGGGTGACCACAGGAGTCCGGGAGAACCGCGGGGACAGAGGTCCCGAGTAGCCGTGCCCAGGGAGTCATAGGCAGCCTCCCAAACTTATATATAAACAGCAAAGACGTGGCGGGCGAGAATAAGAGGGTGGCTTGGGCCAGCCTTGACACGGAGCGAGGGACCTCAAGGAGATCACGGCCCTCCTAGAGGACCCCGCCGTGACACCCTAATTGTTATTTCCTTTAACACTGCCTCCCACCTGTAGTACTGCTGTCCCGTGTTATTCATCTGTAAACAATACATTGCCAATATTCTGGGAGACATCTCTATAGTTTTATCTATAGCTTTATCTTTTTCTTTTGATTCTGTAATTTAAAATGTATTTACAAAAGAATAGTGAATTAATAACCAAATAGAAAAAAATGACCCAGAATTCTCAGGATGTCCAAAGTTCTATGCAATAAAAGGATTTTTTGTCTGCTTCAAGAGACCAGTATATCTTTGAAAATATTAGGGACAGATATTAATTTAAATACCACTAGAAGTTGGGTAATCATAAATTATGAATTATGTATACTGTTTTTTTTTTTTTTTCTGACCCTATTCATTTCTAAAGTATCAGAAGTTAAAATTACATAGTTTGATTATTACCTTACAGCATCATTATTATCTTTATCATTATCATGCCATTCTATGCTCTTCTGCTACATTTCAAATCCAGCCTGACTTGCAGGGTTAACCCTTTTTTTTTTTTTTTTTTTTTTTTTTAGTGGCTTTTTTATCAAGACCTTTTAAAGCAATAACCAGTGATGTATGGTTCTAATCACAGCTGGTATAAAGCACTTAGCTCTGACTGAGTGTTCTTGAGAATATTGGCTGATGCACGTAGGAACTCATATAGCAGTGGGAGAGAGAGAGGAAAAAATCAAAACTATCTGACTTGTGTGTGCCTACCAACTTCTTCACCAAGCTATTTTTCCTATATTTTAATTGTTATCAAGAGCCACTTATCCAGAAGTGTGCACAAAGTGAATATGCTGTCTTGCATGTATCCAATTCAAACACTAGATCAAGCTGGGTGGGGAATTCACAGCGTTCACCAGAAGCATTGGCAAAATTGTAAGGCTCAGAACTTGTTTGCTAACAATTCACAGACAGAAAAAGAGACTAAGTTTTTCTTGCCTGTATATTCTTCTCACACTGGTTTGCTAAAATGCTAGATCTTATTTAATATTGCCATGACTGACAGCAGAAAACTATGAAACGTAAATTTAAGATTCTCAGACTTTACTTTCAAATACAACTGCCAGTGACTCTCAGGTTATTTGCATTAGAAATAGCATGCTTGGTACATGGGTGTGTTTTAAAAAATATATATACTAGATCCTTAACTTGTGTAAATTGCCCTAGCTCCTCTGAAGTCTAGGACAATTTACAACAGCTGGAGATCTGGATCAGGACTATCCAACTGATGGCCCATGAGAGGTGAGCATGCAGCTCACGAGCTCCTGCCGACCTTTGTTTCCCGTATCACTCCTGCTGCAGCGACAGCTGGGGTCCCCAGGCTCCCCATCCCTCCTCTACCTTCTGCTTCCTCTCTCTACTCCTGGAGGCAAGGTGGCGTAGTGGGGAGGGGAGTGTGTGGCAGGAGCTGTGGCAAGGGGATCAGGGTGCCTGTGTTGCACACACAATAAGGTGTCAGGCTGCCTGCCTGCCTGCCTTGGAGGAGGGTATGGCTGAAAGCATGGCAGACTGCACTTGTTGCATGCATGGTAGGGTGTGGTGGTGTATCTGAGCTGCCTATGTAATGGGAAAGGGTGCTGGGGAGGGGCTGCCTGCATAGTTAGCAGCCCATGTGGTGTATGGTCCCAATTTCTGTGACTTGGACCTAGAAGCTGGACAGCCTTAATCTAGCTGTAAGTCAATTTATGTCATTTAAATTAAATGTAGTGCATTACAGTGCTCCTACGTAGTGTTTACAGAGCTATCTGCAATTTGTCAACTTGTAGAGGTGGAGGCTTTTCTTCATACCACATATCTGAAACAATGAAAGACACATACTGTCTTATACACTGGTATTTACCTTTTGATCAATATATTTGTTTTCTTCAATTGTGGATCTTTTGGAATGGTCACATGAGGAGGAGGATGCTGAAGGAAGTCTTCGCAATAAGCAGCTTGTGTCCTGTTGCTGTCGGTCAATAAATTGCTTCATGAAACTTTCCCTTACAAATAAACCAAAGATGTTGCACTTTATCGTTAAAACCCAGAAAGGAGTTAAGGCTTGTTTTCTGTAACAATTGGTTAATGCTACAATGGAACAATAACAAGATGAAGATTGATGGGTACATGACAGCGTACACAAACAACAAAGATAATTGGATTTAGATTTAGTTATTAAAAATCACATAATTGCATTTGAATGTAGATGGCTTGCACTCAGTTCCAAGCCAAAGTCATTAGTTCTCTTTAATAATACATCCTTTTATGTATTTTTGTTGTTTACCCATTAGTTTTCTTAGGTATCTAAAGCATATATTGCAGTTTACAGCTCTTTCCAAGTTTGTAACAGGCTAAGTTGCTACTTAAAAGCAAACCAAATGATGGTATAATCCAAAAGAAACATACTTTGTGCAAGAAATTCTTTCTTCAACAGTTCAAACAGCATCTGTTCATGTAACAGTACTGAATACCAATTTTAAGGTATCTGGCAGTTTTATACTTCACATATGCCATGTTTAAATTTTTGAAGTATCTCTGTTTACCAGAAATGTACATTTATTTTTCTGTATTTTAAATCAGTGGGGTAGAGTCACACTCAGTGTAAATGAAATGTGTTGTAACTGCCTTTTCTCTGGAGTGATAACTCATTGCCACATAACCGCTTCATTTTTAAAGACTTTATTTTTCAGTCGGTAGCTTATGGTTTTTTTTTTTTTTTTTTTTTTTTGCCAGCAATATCAGCTACCAGTTATCTGCCACACAATAGGTATTTGGAAAAACACAGTGGAAAAGATAGTATACAAGTCATACAAAGACCTGTTAGAAAGTGAAGAAAAACTTAACATATAAATAAAGTTCTAGAAATTAAATTAAGAAAAATATGCCCTTTTAGTACCTATAGAAATTGGCAGTGTTTTCTGATCTGCACTTCTATTTTTACAAAGCTCATGTGATCTAAAAGGATCAAGCCCAACAATACTAGCTAGTAGGTTTCAAATTATAGGACGAGTCCCAGTGAATATAGCGCTCCCCTAGCCATTTCTTATACTATTCTTCCCACACCTGTTGACCCAGGGGAACAGTGGAGTAAGGATGTAGAAGCACGGATGGATTGTGCTATGCTTCTACTACCCTCAGCTGACAGAAGGTCCTTGGGGAACCACTCATCTGATGCGCATTAGAGTAGTTCTTAGGTTGTTTTAACCTGCCTCTTGGATGGGGGAAAGAATAAGTCTGCTGTAACTGGCCTCTCAATATGTGAAAACCTTTGTGTGTTGTTTTTTTATAGGAAAGGGATCACTGGTACAAATTTTGCCCAGGTGAGTAGCTCTCAAAAGCCTCACCGTCTGGCACCTATTCAGTGGTCTATTTGGAATGAACTAGTTGCCTTGGTTTGGTTACTAGTAGGTGGCTGACTATATGGGAAAATGAAACCACATTGGAATCAGTTAGAATTTTAGCTGGCTGACGCAGCAAAAGCCACAAAAACAAAAGAACCATAGGGAAATCCTGCTAAGCCACAAAAATGCTCTTTGCAATCTTACTTTATCCATGTGTGGTTAAATTATTTCAGGACTGGCAATCTCAGGGTGGAGTTATATTATGCTCAGACCACACTAAATGTGTGGAATGCTAAGCAGTGTCAAAGTTAGAATGTGTGGTGAGTGATTGCATGTTAAGGGTAATACTGTTTTTTACCTGCACAGCTCTGACTTGTCACTAGACGGCTGAGAAGTGGGGGTGTGCTCAGTGTCTAGGACAGTGTCCCCCACAGCAGAGGGGGATGGGGGGAGGTGCAGGGAAGGAAGAGGAGGTAGGATTGTGCAGAGATGCTGGGAGAGGTGCATTCTGGGATGCTGGAGGACTGAAAATTACTGCCATGGCATTACAAAGTTGTTTCCTTTCAGGTGAGGTTATCTCCTAATGGCAGCACTACATGAGATGCCTTGCTAGTCTAATGAGCAGTAAAGCATCAATGTCTACACATGCACAGCAATTACTGCACAGAAGATTAATTTAAAGTGTCATTTGCTAGTACCCACAGATACAGTTACTATAAAATAATACTTTAAAGTATTGTGCTGAAGTATACTTGTAGACATTGACTGGGAGCAAATTGCTCCTGGTAAGCCTGTGCAGCAGGGGCCACAACAGCTGCCTGGCTAAGCCCTGAGCTCCAAAGCGCAGTTTGGAGGAGGGGGGGAGTTGCCCCTGACTCTAGGGGCAGGTCCCAGCTGCACGGAGCTTGGGATTGCAGTCTGACTCAGCAGCACTCCTTGGGGTGATGCCCCATGCCTGAGCAACAACAGTGCCCTGATCTCTCTCCTTGCTTTGCTTGCAGGTGGTAGAGGAGTCCTGAATGAATTTGCTGGATCAGTCTATCATCAAGAAAGGTAAGTAGGCATCCACTTGTTGCTTCTAAAGCAGGTGCACGTACAGGCGCATGCCCTAATGCACCTGAATTTTCTGCACAGAAACTTCAGATGCATTAACTGCACCTGTAGATGCACCCAATATGTACTAACTTTAATAGGACACTACATTCTAATGATTTACAACTGTTGCAGGTGAACATGTGACAAAGCCCTAAATCTTTTCTTGGATGAAAATGATGGACAAATAAGATGTTACCCACTGTCACATCTAAATAAACTGTCTGATTCTGATTTTTCCAATTAACTATGGGAAACATGGTGTAGGAGCAGGGGACTAAGGAGGGCAAACTCTACTTGAAGGCTGCTTCTGGAAAGTATACCCCCAAAATCAAGAAACTCCTGCCCTGGGCACACCTCTTGCACAAGGGTACTCCCCATACAGGACATGCCCCCAGCTCATGGTGAGGCTCTCTCAAATTTTGCTCCATTCTTTGGAAAACCTTCTATGCTGATGATGGGTAAAAGGTTTGCATCTTACTAGTACTACTCTTGGCATCCTTGGTAAGAAAGAAATCTACAGCATGTAAAGAAACAAGGTATTTTAATACCTTATTTTTGGAACTGTAAAATCTGAAGGAAGCTTGGAGATTTTCACCATTTGTGGCCTGTTCGGAAATTTTTCAAAGATGCGTAGCCGCAACGGAAGCTTTTCCTTGGTATCTGCATTTGCTTCACTTTGCTTTAGCTTTAAAAAAGAAAGAGAAAGGAATATATGCTCTGTGAAATATCATTTCTGTTTTTTCAGATTTCAAAGGACAATAATAGCAATCAGCTGGAGAAACAGAAGATGGCAGCAAAGAACTACAGAGGGTAAATTTGTTACTCGGAGTTTGGTAATCTACTTGTATTAGAAACATTGACAGACACCAAACCATCTTATTCCATTGTCTGTTAAACAAAAAATGAGAGGACTACTAATAGTTCCAATTTTAAAAATATGAAGTATATTAGCATCCTATTAAATATGTTTACTTCTGTGTTTTCTTCACAGTTCCCTAACACTTTATGAAGGAAATGAAATAAATATTCATGTTTTTTTCTTATTAGACCTATCTTATTAGACACATCTCAACAGCTCTTGGATATTCAGATAGAGCAAAAAATAGAGAAATGGAATGAAGATGAAAAGCTTATTAAAATTCTGCAGATCATGGAGGTAATATCAAAACTCATCCATCTATCTATCTAGCTATCAGCTACCCACCTATCAGTCTGTCTTTCTAGCTAGCTAGCTCTCTACTAAGTACAGATATACTTATACCTAATGATATCTGATGTTAGCTATAGATTTAACTAACTATAGATATAACTATTTTATTTTGATTAGCATGTAGAGTCAGCTAAACACATAATGGAAACAAAAAGTCAGGTCATAAGGGTCACCACATATACCAAAGTTTTGACTAAAATGCACTTTTTATATGTTAAAAATGTTGTATATTAAAACATCCATTTTTGTATAATTGCATATAGCAGACTAAGGGTTGGGAATCATAATACCAGATCTCTAATTGGGATCTTTTAGGACTAGGATTCAAGCTAGCTTTTGCCTGACTCATCATCAGGAGCATTGGCATAGAAACTTGACTTTAAAAAAAATTAACATTTAGGAAAAAGGTTGATTTTTAAAGATTTTAACTACAGTACAATCTGTCATGGAAGCTCGCTCTCAAAACAAACGTGTACTGGCTTTGATATGAACTGAGACGTGGGATAGAAATTGTCCAGAGGACCATAAACAAAAGCTAATTATATATGCTAATTGGCTGACTTGGGGAAGAAGGTATCAAGGGAAGTACTACAGTGTTGCATCCATTCTTAAGTAATAGTTTCATTAATGATGCTCAAAAGGGAGATATTAGGTGGTTTATATTTAGTTGGTATTAAATAGTGAGGAACTGCAAACAGTTGTGAGGACAGAGAAATAAAAAAAAAAAGATGTAGAAAAGGATTAGAAACCTGGCAGATGGTAACAAAGTCAGATTCAATTTAAAAATGCAAGCTAAAAATCCTTGGGGAAAATGTCCTGCAACGTATTTATTATAAGATACTTGGGAAACAGTAAGACTGAAATATTCATAGAGAAACTGGAAGAGTGGAGATGAAAACTAAACAAGAGTTTGCAGTGCAATATAATATCAAAGGCCAATATAATTTTGAACTATATAGGCCTCTCCAGCACAATAAATAGCATAACTGTTATTTAATGAATATATTGTAGTAGCACCCAAAGTCCCTGATCAGGAACAATGTCTGTTGAGGGTAGACTTAGAATAGACATAAGAGGCAACAGCAACTCCTTTCTTAGACATGACTGCACCTGGGTTCTGAATTTAATTCTAAACACCATTTTACCTGTCACATACTGAGAAACTGAAAAGAGTTCAGAAGAGACTTAGAAAAATAATCACTGATGAAGAGACTGTCTTACGTGGGGGAAGATTAGCAGAGCTAAATATTTATAGCTTAGCTAGCAGAACAGATGACTGGGAAAGGGGAGAGGAAGACACAAAGCCAGAAGTCAAATATTTGGAGAGGAAATATTTCAGGGAGCAGATACAGAATAGTATTTCTAAAAATAGGAAGAAGGGGATGGAATTGAGACAGAGAAATTTTAGGCTGAATATAAAGACTAATTTTCCCAAAATGAAATCAGTGGGCGTGTCCAGACGAGCACGCATGTGCTTCTTGCAGAGTCTCAAAGGGGTTTCAGATGCTGGAAGAGGCACATACAGGAACGTGAAAAAGTTTACAGCGTGGGGGCAAAAAAACCCACACAGAAAAAAAAAAATGGGGCAGGCAATCAGAGGCAGACCATGCCCTGAGGCAACCGGAGGCTGGGTCCTCCACAGAGACGCTCTGGCTGCCAGACCGTCTCTATGGTTAGCCCTCGCCCTGGTGCTGAAACATGCAGCCTGCCCGCTAGGGCAGGCAGCATGCCAGCAGCAGGGAGCTGGACCCAGGCTCCACTGCCGGTAAGTAAGGGGTTGGGGGCTGGAGGAGGGGGGTAGGGACCATGGGGGTGACCCCTGCTGGCCCCGCCCACTCCCCCATATCCCTTCCCTGCCTGGCCCCAGCCCCCTCAGCCCCCCTGATCCCTGCCCCCCACCCCAGCATTGGGGAAAAAAACCAAAAACAAACAATCCCCCCTAGCACTTACCAGCCGCTCGAGTTGCCATTGAGGTCACTGGGTCCCTGCCCACACAGTGCAGGGCAGGGTGACAGCCCCAGCTTGGACCCTGCTGCTGCCCGGGAGGGCTCTGCCAGGAGGTCCTGAAGTCCCCCCAGCCCCTGCTTGGTAAGCAGAGGCTTTTTTTGTTTTCAAAAAACCAAAAACAAACAATCCCCCCTAGCACTTACCAGCCGCTCGAGTTGCCATTGAGGTCACTGGGTCCCTGCCCACACAGTGCAGGGCAGGGTGACAGCCCCAGCTTGGACCCTGCTGCTGCCCGGGAGGGCTCTGCCAGGAGGTCCTGAAGTCCCCCCAGCCCCTGCTTGGTAAGCAGAGGCTTTTTTTGTTTTCTTTCTTTTTTGCTTTTCTTAAAGTGCCGGAGCCATTCGGGGGTCTGGGGAACCGGGAGAGGGGTGG